ACCCCCAATGTTTTTTTCTTATTTAAAAGAAGACCGTAATCTGTTATTTAATGTTTAAATAAAGATTAATTCGTTTTTCTGTTTTGCACCTCCTCTTATTAATATATTTGTACATCCTGCACTAAACTGTTTTATTGTAGAGATCACTTACAGTATCTTCTTGATTTTTTATATTCTATATTTCTATCACAAACCTTCTACTTTCCCCCTATGAAAGTATGTACTCTTAATATTTTTTTAATCAAATATAACACATAAAAACAATAATTCAATAACGTGATTTAACCACTAGGCGGTGCACACAAGGTACACACAGCCATAATAACTTTGTATTATTAGTGTAGGACACTTATGTATGCAACATCTGAAGATGTGTAGTTTTATTCATGTTTTCACATAATTTTACAGCATATTGCTATACTATTTCAGACTCAGTATTTACATTCTTATATTCAAAGAAAATCAGAAATATCTTTTAAAACTACAAGTCCTTTTATATCAGCTGTGCACCGTTATGGTGTAAATATAACCTATCTATGAATTAGATCAAATATAAAAGTCAGCCGAATTAGTGTTGATACTGCAAGGAGACGTATTGTGTGAAGAGAAATTTAAGATGTTGTTTAATTGTTGATATATTTATGATCCACGTCAAGTATTCAGTTTCGGCGGCATTTCTTCAGTTTTTCCAAAGGTCTTCTCATCAGGGCTCTATAAATAAAGAACTACGGCAGATCTGTAATATGTAATGCAGCCGAACCGTGTCTTACAATGCCGTTATGTGATGACTTTCAAAGAGAAAAGCAAGAGCACTCGGAATTAAGTATTCTTTTATTCTTTTAAAATGTTTTCCGGATTTCATATAATATAAACACCAAATCCCAGCATGCATTGCGGCTAAAACATCCAATCAGCGAGCTTAAACCATAGCTGAGGATCTTGGGTAATCGCTCGAAATGCCTACGTCTGTTTCCGGTTATTTTTATTTTGAAATTCAGTTCCTGACGGACGCCAAAAAAGCCCGAGATTATGGAATTAAACCAATAAATAAAAGCAAGGATAATTGTGTGTTATTGGTGAGTAAATAACAGTGTTATTTTGAAAATAATAACAAATTAGAAGGACAGAAAGATTTAAAAATACAGATTTCAGTATTCTGAGGCTCTGAGCCCCATTTATTTTCCTCACAGACGGCAACAAAAGTCCGAAATTATACGATTTAAAAATAAAAGCAATAATTGTGGCTTGATATTGAGTAAGAACATGTTTTTATGAACCACACAGCTTCCAGTCTTCCACGACCCGACCGGAGAAAAAGACGTGCTGCAGGCACGAAACACATTACCAGTAGAAATACATTGCTTTTAAAATCGTGCTGTGCAACACGAAAAAAAAAGGGGAAAATCGTGTTGGTGAACACGAATCAATAGATTAAAAATCGTGTTGGTGAACACGAAATGCCATGAGACTGGGTTGAGCTGCATTACTTGCGCAGATTTGAAGTGAGGCGGCATGAACATTGCCAGACTCTCAAATTTGGGAAGTATGCGATAAAGCTCGCTAAAGTGACATCCAGAACAGGAAAAAAACACACATGTAAACAGAAATGCCACCACACACACACACAGCAGTAGTTTCTCTCAGAAACACAATCACAAACATACACTCTTGGCCACAACAATAGTGTGCACAGCAGCCATTGACTTTCTTAGTAGTATTATTAACACAGCTTTGTCAGAATGTTTGAGGACAACAAAAGAGGCTCAGTGCACTGTTTCTATTACAGCCTAGGATGCCCTAGTGTGCTTGTTATTTAGCAGTCTGCTTTCAGGCCTAAAGCATTGCCACTGTTTAGTTATATCAAAATCCTGCAACCTGCATCTCACAATTATTTGTATTCTGCATTGAAAGTTAACACAGGGTGTCACCGTTTGCCCAAATTAATAATACTACACAACACTCTTCACATCAGTGAGAGAATCAAAGGAAGCTTCCCCAAGGATAGGATAAAGAAGCTTTGGAGTTACTCTGATCAGGTACTCCACAGAGCTCTCCTCTTCAGTTCCTCTGAGATAACACATAGACACTTTAGACAGAGGGATTTGCACACTAAACGTCTGTGTTAGGTAGATATGATAAGGAAGCTTGGAGTGCTGCTAGGTCAAAGGTCAGATATCTGGAAAAGGATGCAGAAATGGTCTCTCTTCTTACCCTGCAGGATAGGCAACCAGACCAGATCGGGGGTCACAGGCCAGACCGCTGTTTCCTGATGCTGTGATTCCTAACACCTTCTCTAAGGTCACCTGTAGAGACACACAGCGGGAGGATTCAATCACAGGGAGAAGTAACATTTGAGTTGACAGTGGGATAAATACTGAACTCAAAGCAGCAGTGATTGAACTAAGCACCTTTGTCAATAATTCAAAGAGAGAAATAGATTGGTTTGAATGCAACATGGGAGGTCGATGTCTGACTAATGTCCACTCTGTCCGTCTGTCTGTCTGTCTGTCTGTCTATCTGTCTGGGTAATTATAAAGCAGCCCTAAGTGTCATTGATTACTTTGGAGTAAGATGAAGGTATACCTGAATCTACAGTACACTAAATATTAAGAGTGAATAATAAAAAGCATGATCAGGCAATCGCAGGCTTGCTATCCTAAACTACTGTGAGCTTAAGGTTTCTATTTATTCTTGTCAATACAAGTTATATATTTTTCTGAGTGTCACTGTCTAATCAGGCCCCTTTTATTTAGGTTAAAACTAATGGTATATACTCCTATGTATGCGTATAGTTAGATGTTCTATCTAGAAGTAATACAACTAAAATAAGAGACTTTGGTGCAAATTGGTAACCTAAACGATGTTATCATTGCCTAAACGATTTTATCATTGGATTATTATCAAGTTGCAACATTACAATTTTTGCCCACCACCAAAATGGCCAGTGAATTTCACAATTTTACAAAAATAAACTAGCCACTCAATAGATAACTATTGTTTTTTTAATAGTGAGTCAGGCAAATCGACCAGCCAAGTATATTTTATCAGTATTTGGCTTGTAAACTGTGCTAATATTGTACCCTAATAACTTATCTATGAAGCATTAGTCAACAATGTGTTATTATTAATAGAACAATTATTTACAACTATAACCCCTTTCTAAATGATGCCCAAATACCCTATTCTCTATAGTTGCAGTTTCAAGTGCCAAAAATGTTGCTCAGGTAGCATTTAACTTATAAATCAATAATCACTGCAAGATATAACATTGATTTGTACTACGCTGCAAATAGAAGGCTATCATAGAGTATTACTGATTGCTGCTTTTGCTCAGAAACTTTTAAAAAGTACGTTCTAAGAATTAATAATTACCTTGCTGGTGAGACTTTTTTTCCTGTTCTTCTTGTGCCTGATTGATGGAGAACGCAGCAAATTCCTGATGCGACTTTTAATCGTGAACCCATCGCCTGGCATTTTGTGGCACTTCTGACAACTCTGACAACAATCCACTGGACAAGTGAATGCAGCAGGGCTGGAGAAGGGAATGAAAAGCCTGTCAAAACCTCCCACCAACAAGCCTCCCACCAGGCAAACTGTAGATGTTCACAGAGTCGGACAGTGTTCCTGCTGCCGGGACTTGTACACGATAATCTCTTGAGTGGGTTTACTGGTCTCTGCTGTCTTCTGCAGTTTGTCGCTTCACGTCAACAGCTTCTCATCTCCCAACACTTCTGGACTGATGTTGCCTCAACGCTAAGGTTTGCCCTGACAAGGGGAGGGGGAACAATCCGTTGCTCAGCTGTTTGCATCCATTGCATCACTGGATTAATCTCAGTCTCATGATTACATCAATGATGGCTTTTGTTGCTGTTGTAATTGATTTAATAGGATTACAGAGAGGCCACCTGCAGATTTAAACCGCATGGCGGATGTTTCTTGAGTAGCTCAGTTTGTATGCTGATTGGACGATAACACATACCCTTTTATGCATAATGCACAATCTGTTGTTTAATATGCAAATGTACCTACGTTAAAGTAATCTTAACTTTTCTTCACAGTGATATTCAAAACGTAGCGCTCGGCTAGTTATTAATTGAGTTATTTAATAAGATGTAAAGGCTCAAAGCATGTTGCTGATAATTATGTTAACCTGAAATGTTTTATCTAAAACAATACAAGTCATACTTTCTCGCGCTGTCCTAATTTTAAAACGTTATCAAAATTCTGAATGAGTGCTCTTCCGGGAAAAAATAGACGCCCCCCGATGACGCCTGACCAATCAAAATCATTGTAGAGATATGTAGCTGACCATACAGTCTATGATTATTACATGTAATATGCGGTAATAAGACATATTAAGAAATGTAGCCGTTGATATGCTATAGGGATTTAAGTTTTTTTTTTAAATACTTCACTTTTGATTTTCTTGGGTTTTACTAAAATACATCTACCCTATTTTACTCGTAAGAGTCAAGCGATGCCTGATGTTATCCCTAATTTGTTGTTTTATTTTTTTGTCTCATGCAGTGATGACTACTACAATAAAGAAATGTAAAAAGAAAGGACACCTTTGCATACATATTACACACCATTACTAACTCTTTTGTTATAATAAATGAAATGTATAAGATGTAATTGAGCAACCATGTTGTTTTAGTAATTAGTAAGAACACTCAAATGACATTGAAATAAAGCTTATGATAAAGTTCATTACTGTTGTGCATCACGTTCACACACCCTCATTTCCATATGTAAGGAAATACTTTACATTTGTAAAACTAAAGGTGATCTCTCATATCACACATGTAACAGCTGTCAGTTAGTACCAGTTACTGTGATTTGATGTAATGACAACTTGGTGACAAACAGCTACTGATATGTTGCATTGATCTACCCACAGGAGAGGCCCCATTTCTGCTGTGTTCAACAAGTGCATTATGAAAGAAGAGAAATGCTGTCTTCTTAAACGCTTTGTGTTTCAGTGACTGAAGAGTGCCGTAATAAATGCATGTCGTTTTTATTGATTTTAAAGGCCACATTATTTTCCACAATTCCAATCGAAGTTAAACAGGACAACCAGTGTTTCAAAATCTTCCACAAAGTCAAAGTATTGTTATTTTTTTTTAAAAGTGGCCATATTTACAGAGGTTATTTTTCATAGATACAATATATGGCTAATAGCTTTTCTCTTGATTGCTTGTGACTCATCAGCTTTATCTGCATATTAGTGAGTGAACTACCAAACACACAGAACACTACAGCAAAGACATCAGACATGGTGGTATCTACCAACAACATAAAGTGCAACTACACATTATTCACTCAGTTCCTAACGGAAAACAGGAATTTCAAAAAAGGGATACATTCATCCAACTAGCTCTTTTTAAAAGTGTAAAGACATAAGTTAACACATACATTTTACAGTTAATGAAGCAGTGTCTTGTCTGATCCTATTTAGGAAAAATATTAAACATACACTGAATGGTTTAACGTTTTGGAATTACATAATCTGCTGAGTTTTTTATTTATATTTGCATAAAACAGATCAGTAATAAATGACTTCAACAAAAGCACATTATTTGATTAAATCTCAACATCCTGTTTCGGACAAGGAGGAATGTAGTTGATGGAAATTCTTCTTCGAAAACATAATGTCAAAACTGAATGTGGGAGTTCATTTGGTTCATACATTCAGCAGGTCAAATAATGCTTTCTCTTGTGTTTCTTCATACCGAAGCACCTGTGTACTTCTCTCTATAGTATGTAAAAAAGTCCTCTGAGTTTTATGACAACATACAAAAAAAGAGCAGCATCCAGCTATGTGACTAACTGAGGTCAAACCATTGGCTTTCTTTAGCTACAGCAAGACAGGACTATTCGGATTCAAGCTCAGGTTCCAGTTCCTTTTCTACGTCTATCCACGAGCGTTTCTTTGCACTCGGGAAATCCTTTCCTAAAGAGCCTCGGGTTAGCGGCCGATAATCGCTGACTTCTCCGTGCCTGGTGGTGGTTGCAGGACTTTCCTCTGGGCTTTTAAAACAATAGGTTTGTCTGACCGGGCTGTGCTGGTTGGAACTAGATGGACTACTTCCTGCTTTCACACCCGGAGGACTCCATAGCTGTATTGTCTTTTTCTTCGGAGGCCTTCCTCTGCCTCGCTTCACCAGTAGGGGGTTGTCGCTAACAACTCCTGGAGAGTCATCAGCTTGCATCTCGCTCGATGCCACAGTCCTTTTTTCACTTAGTGTCTCTTCAACTCCAGTAGATGTTTCACTTTTACTCAGATTTACGCCAGCGTCCTCTAGCAAACCATTTTGTAAAAAAGCACCGCAAGGGGGAAGGGAGTTCTTTCGAGGCCTGCCTCTGCCTCGGCGTACTACGGGAGGAATGACAGGGGAGGGAATGATGTTTACTGGCTGAAAACTCAAACAAGCAGTCGGCAGCGTTTTGTCCACACGCTCAGCCGGGCCCCCCTCCTGGCTTTTCTCCACAGCTTGCGGAGTCCCCGAAGGCACAGAGACTGATTTAAGCAGGGTGAGCTCCACCGGGGCGGGCGTTGGACCTGAAGACTTTGGTTTAGAGTTGGAGGGTTGTGCAGCTTGGTCGTCCTCAAAATCACAACAGTTTTCGACATCTATAAAGAGCTCATGATCAGACATGCTCTTGTCTTGGTTCTCTGATGACTCCACTTTAGGAGGGTGGACATCAGCTGAAGGGCTGACTCCATCTTCCTCTCCTTTCTGCCTGGGTTGCATGACCGTGAGTGTGTAGAAGCCATGTCCAACTGTGAGAAAAGAGGTTAAATATACACGTGTGAATATAAATAAAGATGATTTGACTCTGGCATTAAATGATGGCTAAAGCCAGATGTTTTCACTTACGTGGTTTCAGAGATGAGGGAAGTATGATTCTGCCAGTCTTGGAGCGAATCAGAGGAAGAGCAATGGGCTTTGGAGGCTCTGCAGGTTTTTCTTTTGGTCTAAATGTAGGCACGTGTGTGGACTTGGGCTCGGACTCGGACTTGAGATTAGTGTTACAGACCTGGGCCAGGGACTCAAGTACCTGCAGAGGGTCCTCACTTTTCTGAGGAGCGGCTGGTAGTGAGTGTACCTGTTGAGGTATGACTTTCAGTTCACTGGGTTGAGCAGGAGTGCTTTGTAGGTCGGGCTTAAGCAGGGACATAATCTTCCTGTGCGCTGCAATCTGAAGAGGGTTAGCCTGAGACGGAAGGTTAGTCTGAGACAGAAGCTTCTGGAAGTCAGGGTGTGCCCGGCGTCTGGGCTGGAGCTCCGCGTTTAGAGCAGAGGTTCTCAGATCGACAGCTTTGGACTGAAGGAGATTGGAAAAGTAAGGCAATTCCTTCATCTTATCTCTAATCTTTTGCCTCTCGCAGATCTCATTCAGCTTTTGTTTGATCAGCATGTCCGGCTTCCCTAAAGAAGAACACACACAAGTTTCAGTAAAGAGACCCAGTGCTATCACCCATTTTGTAAATGCTGTTAGCCATAGCAACAACTGTGCTACGCTCCTCATTATCTATGCATTTTAGATAGAGACCCCGACATCATTTTTATTTGACTTTTTCTGATTAATTTTCACGTAGGCAAGGCAATTAACTGAAAGTGCCGCAAAGTCGCAGGGGTTGGACTTCACTCAAGTGTGAGAAGAGTCGAGCCATAAGGCGATGACAGGAATCGTTTCCCAAGTACTTTGAATTTAAACCCAATGGGATTATGGAAACTGATGTCAATGAGGAAATGTATAAAATGTTGGTATGATATCTGTCTGAGCAGACACAGCCAGAACACGGTGAAGTGGTGTGGGTCAGAAAACGAGGGGAAACATGCTACTTGGTGGAATGAACCACGCTAACCAGTTCAGTCGTTTCACAGGATTACCTTTGTGGACATAACACTCTTCAACTTATTTTCTACAATGGATTTTCAATTAAACAGTACATCAATCAGAACAAAGTGAGAAATAGTAAAAAAAAATGACATGCAGCCACAAAAATGGAACCTACCAGACAACACCGAAAGCTCCTTTATATAAAGAGACTGCATCCGACTCAGCATCATCTTCTTCTCCTGCAGACTTCTAGACTCCTCAACCAGATGATTGATCTCTTGTTGGGCCTGCAAACAGGATACAACAAAACAAACACATTGAGTAAAGACCATGAGGGCAGCTATACACGCATACTCTCAGCCATACATTTATTTGAAATAGGCTCTTTTTGTCATTCTTTGTTCTTCTTTAATGCTAATGAGTGGCACACTTCATTGAATATATTTTAGTACAACACTTGATGTGGACATTAGAAGGCATTTCATTAAGCTGTTTCTATTGTCAATCACAATTCATTTGAATTTTCACAGCTATGTGAAGTAAGAAGTATTTGATTTATCCCCTCTACATAACCACACGTTTTCTTTAAGTAAGATTGGCAAGTTTTGGTTTGATGTGCAAATTAAACTAATGAACTTACAGGAGTAGAAATACAAATGTTCTGTAAATGTTCCCCACTGTATTATTTATCTAAAAGCCGTTAAAAACTTGGGATAGGGTCCTGCATAAAAACACTATTTCCTGTTCAAATTGTTATTTCACAAAGGAGATGTTTTTGTCTAAACGTCTTTTACTGGTTGTACGTGTGCTGGAGGAATACGAGGCTAAGCGAGGATAAGGAACTGACCATTGAGAGGAGGCGGAGCCTGGGGACCCTGGGGTCGCACTTCATGATGGCCGACAGTTTGTCGAACAGGACGCGCTGCTCACAGCGTCTTTGTCTTTCTAGCACTGTGTGGTTAGTTCGCCTCTTTTTATCCTTACTCTCATCTTCTTCTTCCTCGTCTGCTTTATCCTGGAATAGAGACAGACATTGGAAATTAGTACAAGTGATACTGACACTACTTGGTACTAAATAAGATAACTGTACTTCTGAATACTAACATCGGTCCATAACCCTGTATTGCTGCTGGATAATAAACAAGCCGTACCTGAGCAGGGGGTTTCCCCGTTAGTCCAAAATGATTCATGGAATCTCTGAAGGTAGAGAAGAAATTAAAACCACTTTGAGAGCCAACATTCAAACAAAAGCAGGACATATGCACAGGTCCACATATCACATTGCCCTTTATTCATATAATCACCCTGATTCCTTAAGGGCTTTGCGGACAGCTTTTTTCATTTCAGCGATGGCCTTTCCTTGTCCTGCTTCTTCTACCGTCTCAATGTCCACTTCCGCGTCCTGAAGGATACAACATTAAGCATGCCGTTTTAAGAGATATAACAATAACTCAAAGTAAAACAATCACAGGGATTTATTTGCAGATTTTTTGTATATAAAATTCATTGTTATTCACATTTGATCTCTATCAAACTGTTGTGGTGCTGCATCATTATCCCCGTCTACAACAATTATTTTAGGACTTAGTAAAATGTCTTTGTTTGTTACAGATGATCTTAATATCTATATCTATCTTAATAATCATAATTAGTCATTTCTTTCCAAATAGTGCAGCCCTAATCAAAAACAATATTTCAATTGGAGAAACAAATGTTTGCCTGAATATGAAGACATTTGGTATTCCTCACACTTACATCCTCCCCACAGTAGTCTGAGGTGTCGGAGCTGTCCGAGTCCTCTGAAGCATTATCCACCTGACTGATGTTGCTTTCCTCTCTCTCCTCTTTTGGAATCTTCTCAGCACCATCTTTCTCCACCATTAGTGGAGCATGAACCTCATATGGGGGTTCAGGCTCCACCAATTTGCTCCTTAATAGATCCCTAGATCCAGTAACGGCGTCCAAACAAGACAATGGTGCATGTGAACCCCGACCTTTGATCAAATTTAACAAAATCTCTTTTTGCGAAAGGGCTTTATTCACTCCACTGTTTGTGGTGTTCTCAGATTCTGATGAAGGCTTTGGGAGCTGAATGAGGGTGAAGCCCCCGGGCAGCTCGACTCCTGGCAGGTTGGGGCCTGAGGTGCTCTGGTTATCTGGAGGGCAGATCCTGAATGAATAGGTCCCGCTCTCTCCTAAGAAGCTGGGGGTCTTCAGTGATGGTGAGACGGTGAGAGATACAGGGGAAGATGAGGAGGTGTTCTTGAAGGGTTTTATAGAGCCACGTGCTCCAGTGATGAAAGGAGTGGTAAAGGGGATGCTGTGTGCATACTGCGGCATGTTGACAAATCCCTTTTTCCAAAAGCATGGAGGGAATTCCTGAGCTGAATAAACAAACAATAGAGGGCAGAATGGTGAGACAAAGAAACAGTTATCCAATTCCAACATACCATTCTTATATCTCTAGACCTTTAAATAATTTAATCTATAAAGCTAAACCCTGGGTAACCCTTAGGGCTTTAGAGCGATGCAGGAATTTTTAGCTTTGTGGTGTTGAAGGGTAGTCAGTCGACTGTGATGTAGTTTGTTAATAGCCTAACGTTAGCTTTTTACTTCTGGTGATTGACTTTATTCTTCAAAAATCACTTAAGTGGTGTTACTATGTGGAGATTATCCTGCAGAACAAACATAAATATCATAAAACATGTTTTCCCACAGATTTTACTTTCTGCAATATTCTGAGATCCTGTTGCTTTTTCTCATGGGTGCCATCTGATGCTAACTTCCATGTCAGCCTTCACAAATATGTACAAGTCTAATAGCAATGTTTAACACATAGACAGCAGCTTGAGTGTATACATGCATTTCCTCCTTGCACTTGAGGAATCTTGCAATCAGTGGAAAAGGTAGTGCTTGTGCTGGAACAGAGAGGAGATGTGTACCTGGTGGTTGTGCTGCTGTCTTCAGATCAGTGGTTTTCCTTGCAGTAATAATTGGAGGGACGACTGTGCCTGCAGCCTTTATGTGCAGAGCTCCAGGAGTGTTGCTTTTGGTTGTAGGGTTGGACTTCTGGGAGTTTTTAAGAGAAGTGCCGCCGGGAGGGGGCAGTCGGCCTGTGACAAATGCTGCAAGGCGGTTGGCTGGATGCAGAGATCCCATGTTCCCCAGCAACAGCCTGGCCTGGTTGTAGGATTTTCCATTTACCTGTAAAAGGAAGAAAAATATGACTTCAGATATGACTCACTATACACTTTGTTCATGTATTACCAAATGTGGTTCCATCCAATAAATGTTATGTATAATAGGCATTTTTTCTCTGACCTGTATAAGTCCAGATGCTTGGCAGCCAACAGGTTTGGTCTTGGCTCTCAGTCTGCCCGCAGGTAACACTCCGCTCAAAAAGGGTGTGACTCCATACTGCACTTCCGACTCTTCATTTTGCCCATCGTTTTCCTCTTCGTCAATGCTCCCCTCATGCTCATCCTCCTCGCTGCTCGCATGTTCGTCTTCCTCAACATCACTGACTTTTGATGGTTTACTAATGTGTACCTGGGGAAAGGTGGAGCAGAAGGAGATTTAAATCAAATGAGATAAATGTCAAATTGTGCAACGAGGCCTAACGCCATATTTGATCTAAAAACTAAATAATATTCAGAGGCTGGTTTTGGGTCAGCCGTTTTTCATAATCATTGAAATATATCTTCAGTCAAGGCAAAAGCAATAACACATTAAGATGTTGTAAACAAAAAAATCGATTTAGGAGATAAAGACAATACTTGTACTGACAAAACAGTTATTTCTCTGGATTCTAATATGTATTTATTAAATAGATCCTGGACTTGAAACACTTGTTACTGCCCACAGATGCATCACTCGTCATAGACCTACCCTATAAGTGAAGATGGAGCCGCTGGGCTTCCGTATGAAGATCTTGGCGACGGGGCGGATGTGGTAAGGTCCTACCCAGAAGCGCTGGGAGAGCCTATTCTGATTCATGCGCCGAAATAAAGCTTTCAGGACCATTTTACGGTCTTTGGTCCATTTACACGCCGAGGAGACTTCGATTTGCTTTTTTGCCTCGCTTTCATTGGATGCAATCTTCTGAGAAGCCTTTTCCACTGGGGGAAAAATGCATTATGGTTGTGTTAAGCAACAAATAGCAGAGTATCTTCAATATCACACAGTCAGGCCTGTCAGATATGCCATCCAGGCAATAGAAGGAAAGCATAACAAGTGCAAAAGAATACTTGGGAGTAAAATATTTGAGGATTTCAGTTGCTGGTTAATTTTAGACATCAAATTATGTATTATATATTTTCTTTGCTTCCTCACCTTCTTTCTCAACACTCGGTAGATTTTTGAGGCAGTTTGTCGGCTGGTCATCAGTGGTGTTCTCCTGGGGTTTAGCTGCAGGGTTTGCTGTAGAAGTATCAATGAGCATGGGCTCGAGGGAGAGCACAGGGGGAGGCTTGGAGTTGAACGCTCTTACACGTGCGCATGTCATCATGCTCTCCAAGTATTTATACACTGGATCCTTATCCTCTTCTCGTATCTGCAATCATGATTTATATTTCAATTTTGAATGACAAAAAAAAGGGATAAAAGCTTAAGATTCTTACACTTAGAAAATAACAGCTATTTCACTACAATAAGCTGAAATGTTTTGGTAAAGCATGTATTAAACCTAATAAGAGAGAAATGTAGTTTTACCGGTTGGTTAGTCCGAGATACGACGCCACGTTTTAGGAACTTCACAGGGGAAAGCCCCGGTGGAGCACACTTGGGGGTGAAGATTGGATCTGGATCCTCACTGTGAATGTTGTAGTTCCACAGTTTCTTAGAGTGCGAGCCCGGGCGAGGCTGGACCACATGTTCAATATTAGTCACAGCTGGGGAAAGGGGGGATAAAACCATCATTACAACTTTGGAGATATTGAAGGTTGTGACCAAACTTAGAAAGGCTAAAAAGGTTTGCGTTCTGTAATAAAAAGGTAAAACCGTTGCATTCTTTTTAAATTATGTTATGAATGAAACGATGCAGTGATCCAATTGCTTAAAATGATATCAAAAATAGTCAAAGATCCAATCTATTCACTTACAATCGATTTGAAAACAAACATTTTATAGATATAGAACAAAGAACAACATGGAGAAATGATATACACTGAACAAAAATATAAACGCAACACTTTCGTTTTTGCTCCCATTTTTCATGAGATGAACTCAAAGATCTAAAACATTTTCTATATACACAAAATAACCATTTCTCTCAAATATTGTTCACAAATCTGAAAAAATCTGTGATAGTGAGCACTTCTCCTTTGCCGAGATAATCCATCCCACCTCACAGGTGTGGCATATCAAGATGCTGATTAGACAGCATGATTATTGCACAGGTGTGCCTTAGGCTGGCCACAATAAAAGGCCACTCTGAAACGTGCAGTTTTGCTTTATTGGGGGGGTCTGGGGGGGTCCGAAAACCAGTCAGTATCTGGTGTGAGGGGTAGGGGTAGGGTTAGGGTAATGTTGTGAATCGAGTGGCCCATGGTGGTGGTGGGGTTATGGTATGGGCAGGCGTATGTTATGGACGACGAACACAGGCCACTCGATTCACAACATTACCCTAATCCTACCCCTCACACCAGATACTGACTGGTTTTCGGACCCCCCCAGACCCCCCCAATAAAGCAAAAATGCACGTTTCAGAGTGGCCTTTTATTGTGGCCAGCCTAAGGCACACCTGTGCAATAATCATGCTGTCTAATCAGCATCTTGATATGCCACACCTGTGAGGTGGGATGGATTATCTCGGCAAAGGAGAAGTGCTCACTATCACAGATTTGTTCAGATTTGTGAACAATATTTGAGAGAAATGGTTATTTTGTGTATATAGAAAATGTTTTAGATCTTTGAGTTCATCTCGTGAAAAATGGGAGCAAAAACAAAAGTGTTGCGTTTATATTTTTGTTCAGTGTAAATACAACGTGATCTTACAGTAAACCGGTTGGATGAGTTCTTCGCGCTCCCCCTCTGCCAGGTGCTTGGTGATCTTGCGTTTGAAGCATGTGCAGCCCAACATGCAGTCAGTCCTCCGGCAGTGGAAGGGTCCTCTGTTGAGGCGCTCCAGGCTGGAGCACACGCAGCCCAGAGTGCAGAACTCCTTACCACATTCGGGTCCGACACTTTGGATATTTGGACAATGGTGCACTTTCACCATCTGCTTGGACTGCATCTGATTCAAAGTAAACAAAACTCATCAAAACTATTTTAAATATGACAAGAATGACACTGTAAAAGAACAATATAAAGTGTGTTGCATACCTGTTTAGACAGGATGACAGACAGAGCCACTGACAGCCTGTCTGGAGTCAGCTGGGTTCTGCTCAAACCCTGGTTCTGCGCATCGAGCTCCATGTGCCACAGTTTGAGCTGGAACTTGGTAAAGATGGGTTTGTGCATCATGTGACTCTGCAGGAAGCTCACTGCTGCTTTCTGGCTGACCCCTGTCTGATGTGTAGGGAATCTGAAGAGGCAGGAGGAAATGAGCTGATTACAATGTACTCTTTTTTTTACGCAGGGGAAAATATGTATGACTATTAGGGCTGTCAAGTTAACGTTAATAACGCGTTAACGCAAACAAAAATTAACGCCATAATTATTTTAACGCGATTAACGCATGTGTATTTGTTGTCCTCGGCCGCCCCGTAGTTTCAGAGCGCATCGAGTTTTTAAAATACCATCTACAAGCTGATGCTGACAGCCCCGCTGATGCCGTCCGCTTGTGGCAGACCACACTTCCATGCTCACCGGCAGGCACCGACTGGCTGTTGGGAGGACCGGGAGGGTGTGTGTATGTGTGGCCCGAGCGAGCGAGAACGTGCACACCTTACGTGTATTGTTGTTGTTAGCATCTGGTGCTAGCTAGCGGCGCTAACGGATATAAGGAGCTGTTTCAATGAAAACAGAGGAGCGACATTTCGCCACAACTGCTCCGAGCACTTGACTTTATGCAGGAAGCCAGACAGTGGGACATTGTACAAAAAGTCAGCACACTCAGCACGGATAGTGCGCAACATGATTGCAGCGTCCAGGCAGCTCCGGTTCGAGCATATGCCTTGAGTTGCACATAGCTCCAACGATCCATCACACACACACACACACACACACACACACACACACACACACACACACACACACACACACACACACACAATATTTGTCATTGTTCAAATGATAATAAACAAACATTTGCATAAAGCATATTTGTCCACTCATATGTTGATAAGAGTATTAAAAACTTGAAAAATATCGCTCTAAGGTACATTTAGAACAGATAAAAAATGTGCGATTAATTTGCGATTAACTATGGACAATCATGCGATTAAATATTTTAATCGACTGACAGCCCTAATGACTATACGTGTTCACATTTTCCTCCAATCAGTGAATAAAGTCCACATAAAATAAAGTAAGACATAACTCAAGAGTAACCAAGTTTCTAGGATTAAAGAAATTAACCTGCATCTTTGTAAATAAATATTGCTAGTAAGAGCTGTAAAATGGTAATGGTCTCGTATATGAATAACGAGAGCAAAATAACAAATTGAGACTTATTGTAGGACACACATTTTGTAGGGATCTAGCTTTTGCATGTTATCGGTTAAGGAACTGTAATATTTTAACAACAGTAGCTGATTCATTTAAGAAATTAGTTTTTAAAGGACCCGAGGGATTCAATGAAAACAGAAATTCTTTGTATTTGGACCGTTCGTTTTACAAGATGTGAAATGTAGCCTTAGGCTTGAAAATGTCCTCTCAGAACACAGATGGACTGAATTGTTCTACACCAAATAAAATAGACAAATTACAACCCAAACAAAGTAAGCAAATGCTCACCTTGGGCCTGCAGGCGGTGTGGGTGAAGAAGCGGAGGGCTGTATGGACGGGGATACTGATGGAACGGGGGTGGCCGGTTTGCCCAGAGGAGGAGGCGGTGCTGCCAGGGCGGAGTAGAGAAGGGGTTTGCGGGAAAGAGGGCAGGGTCTGTTGGCCCCTACGGGAAGCTTGGAAGCATGTCGTTGATGCTTGAGTACGCTGTCCAGGGTCTTCACATAGCTGGAGCTTTTGACGGGCAGCTGATAGGCCACCGAGTCAGAGTTTGTGGTGAAGGCTGCAGAGCGTTCGCTGATATACTGCGCCTCGCTTTCCAAGTACTCATCCAACATGTTGCTGCAGAACGCAGACAGGTTCTTCTTTGGTCCTTCAGGAGAGAAGGAATGGAGACAATTATGTCATATACTATCAAGGAGGGTTGTTCAATCAGATCCTTACATGTGGCTGGTTATAGTGCAGTTTATCATTTGGTTATCAAACTGACTACTATTAATCCCGTTGCATGATAAAAGGGAACTATAATAAAACAAGAGAACCTTACCTTCACATTTAGGAGGAGACGTGTCTTTGCTTCTTATGAACTTGTTTCTCCATCCCTTTATTTTTGTCACGTCGCTTGTCTTTCCCGTCCGTGAGATGAAGGATAATCCCTCCTCTGTGAAGGAAACATAATGCGTTACACTTCCATTAAAGACACAGTGTGTTAATATGGGATGTTTCACAATGTTTAAGTGCTAAAGTGGAATAGAGAACTACATGTATTTAAGTAAACGGTATGTTCATTGATAGAAAATCAGCTGGCCAACAATATATATCAATAGGCGCGTTCACACCGCAGTACTTTTCCCACTTTAGTTCCGATATAGTACCGAAATGTCGCGTTCACACCAAAAAGAGCCGGAACTAAATGAGTCCATGAGAACCTTTTTACCCCCTTTGCTAGAGAGCAGGGACTTTCGTGGGAGAAAAAGGTTCCTATGTCTGATTGGCTGGGCGGATTGCAAAACCACGGCCCGTAAAACTCCAAAAACGTTTTCTGAAGCCGCCATTTTATTATCCTCGCATTAGCATTATTAGCATTAGCCCAGCGCACAAAAGCAGAGAGACTAACTTATGGCAACACAAAAGAAAACATGGGAGCGGTGGAGATGAGGAGGTGTCGGGGTTCTGGCGATTTACTCGGAAGGCTTCAGTAGAAGCTGCTGTACGATCTGTACTTAGTTCATGAGAACTAAAGAGTTCTGATGAACCTTTGTGGGAAAAGTACTGTGGTGTGAAAGCGCCTATAGTAGTAAAGCACTTCCTGTTCACAGTAAGCTGCGACTCCCTGGGTTCAATCAAGTTTTTATTAGTGGGAAGCAAATCTCAGTCATTGCCCTTAGTTTAGACACCTCTCTGAGAATAATATTCACAGGCTTGTCTTTTCAAAAGTAGGTGTTCTAAAAACTGCATATTGCCAGACCCCTGTTTTCCTGTTTTATGTTGATATCTGGCAATAAATGGAAACACAGACAACTTTTAGAAGCTTTACCAGGCCATGTTCTCAAAGATCCTTTAAGGCTTTAATCTGACCTGACGGACAAACTACAGATGATGCAGGAAGAGGTCATTATCACTCAGACTATCGTAATTTATCCTTCTAAATACATTAGGCTATGTTATGAATGTGCGGTCTAAATTGAGAGAGAAGCAGAAAGAGAGAGATAGGTAATTGTACCGTAAAAAAAAAAACGTTGTAATATAAATGTGTTCAATCATTCTTGACCTTAAATCTTCAATGCTCTAATACTGGGTATAAACTGAGTCATTATCCTTGCATTGAGTAAAACAATTAACCGTATCATTTAAAAAGCAGTAGTTATTTAGCAGTAGTGCTATTTCATTTATAATTATGTTCAATTATAAAACGTATTCCTAATTGAACATGACCTTGGTCGAAACACACATCTAAAACATTGACAAATTATTCCTGCATTAAAAAGATCACTCTGCCAACAAAAGATACGTTAAGACTGTTACAAATATAATAAAGTGATCATATAGTCCGGAGATAAACTGTCCAAACAGAGCTAATTAAATGCCCCCAAAAAAAGCATTTTCTTCAAAAAACCTGCACAAACTTTCAAAGATGAATCCAACTCACCACCTTGAGACAGAGCCGTGGCGTTGCCTTGATCTTTTAGATTTGGGGGAGGTAGCGGCAGACGAACCCCCAGATACTGCAGGTCGATGGACCTCATTGTGTCTAGGGAGCTCAGTTTCATACCCACTAAAAACAGATTTAAAAAAAAGTAATTAAACAACAGACAAATATCTACACTTCCTTACTTTCTATGACCTACTCAAACACTAGGATGTTTATCCCGATGTGTATGAACTCACCCTCCTGCAGAACCGGATGGATGACCTGTCTGTGTTTGAGGATCGCGAGGTCCCGCAGCAGGATGGCCTCCGAGCGGGATATCTGCTCCTCATCTGTCTCTAGAATCACCTCGACTGAAACAACACAGAAATGTAGTCAAAGATTGTGCACATTACATTTGAATAAATAGAAAGTGGTGACAAGAGGTGAATGCAGGATTTTCACAACAATCAATATAAGTATAACATTTACAGTACAGCAGAAGTGCATAAAAGCATTTGTTACAGACGTCAGCCAAATGAAAGAAATCTTTGAAATGCTAACCTTTTTCCTCCCACTGCATTGGTGTCGTTAGGGAAACTGGAGATGCTGATGGTGTGCTATTGCCCGGCATGTCCCTGATGTGAACGTCAAGAGCTTCCTGTCGCACAGAACAAAAGTTAACGCTTATATACTTTGCAGAATTTTTACAAATGTGCACCAAAAATCACTCTTTCAACAACAAACCCTCTCTTAAGATTGCAGAGACTACACACACAATCAAACATAAATCCTTAGGAGACATGGAGATAAGTAGAGTACAGAGCATACAGTGTTTTACCTTTGAGGTAAATGACACAAACAGCAGGCCCTCCACATCATCCAGCTCTGGTTGCATAGCGACAGTCAATGATGGGCTGAGCAATACCGTGGGGGGTGCAGCCACAGCTTTCCATTCTCTTCCCCGCGAATTTGCCCAACGTTTGTTCATCCTTTTCTTCCTCTTGCGGTCCCCGGTGGAAGAACTCGGGCTAGGTGTTAAGGAAGTGGGTGTCATCGCCATTGGTCTAGGCTTTAGTTGATGCATCTTGGGTGATATATCGACAGCGAGGGTTTCTTCCTTGGGTTTCACAAGTCGTCGTTGTTGAAAAAGCACAAGCTCACCGAGGGCATGTTTGCCTCTTATACAGGGGACATATGCCAAATCCTTCTTGGAAGGGTAGGACATTATGGGCTTCAGGACCAGCCTGGTGAACATATGCTCGTTTGAGACAGTGGGATCCTTTGAGCTGCAAGAAAGTAAAAAGAAGCACTGTTTAAAGACACTAAACAACTAAGAAATACAAAATGATATTTATAAAACCTATTGTGATGGCACAGTAACATGTGTGTGGTACATTGGGTAATTCCAGCAGTTTAAGGTGATGATGAAATACCACCTCCACAACCAGAAACACAATGATTTTATACTATTTTTCTTTAATACCAGCAACGGTATTTCACTACATTTGACTATTATAACCAGTGTGACAATAACAATCTCCTACACCTGATGATGCCGTCATGGATAACAAGGGCAGATAGAAAGACTCCTGTTTGCAGCAAAACCTCCAAAATAGAAAGTGTGAGACGAAGACACCAAAAAGAAAACAGTGGATTGCTATCCAAAGACTCGGCAATAAACAATGATTTATAAATGAATTGCAAGTATTAAGTCTGTATAATCCTTAATTGTGGTTGAAAACGTAAAATGGGTGTCAATTAGGGATGCAAGATATTGGTTTTTTGAAACCGATACCGATAACTTCCTGCTTCTCAAGACCGGTAATAAAAAAAAATGTTACGCCACTAATTATTTTAACGCGATTAACGCATGTGTATTTTTTGTCCTCGGCCGCCCCGTAGTTTCAGAGCGCATCGAGTTTAAAATACCATCTACAAGCTGATGCTGACAGCCCCGCTCCTGCCGCCCGCTTGTGGCAGACCACACTTCCACGCTCACCGGCAGGCACCGACTGGCCATCTGGAGGACCGGGAGGGTGTGTGTATGTGTGGCCCGAGCGAGCGAGAGAGAGACCTTACGTGCATTGTTGTTGTTAGCATCTGGTGCTAGCTAGCTGCGCTAACGGATATACGGAGCTGTTTAAATGAAAACAGAGGAGCGACATTTCGCCACAACTGCGCCGAGCACTTGACTTTATGCAGGAAGCCAGACAGTGGGACATTGTACGAGAAGTCAGCACACTCAGCAGCACGGATAGTGCGCAACATGATTGCAGCGTCCAGGCAGCTCCGGTTCGAGCATATGCCTTGAGTTGCACATAGCTCCAACGCCCATACCACCGACGACATGTTTGTTTACTGTCCTGGCTTCACGAGTTAGGGAGCGCTGGATTTGTGAAGAACTCAACTCTTCCTAAACCACTAATACCACAGTACTGGCAAAACGGGAGGAGCAGAGTGAAAAACAAGCGCCCCTCATCCCAATCCACCCACACCGCAGTATTTCTTTCTTTTTTTTTACCCAAAAAATACATTGTATATTATCGGGGCTATTAATACTGGTATCGGGTTTATCGGGATGACGTCATAATTATCGGTCCGATAATTATCGTGCCGATAATTATCGTGCATCCCTAGTGTCAATTCAAATGAATGGTTTCTTTTGTGTGTTGTTAAGCAAATGTCCCGTTTCAGTTTCCTCTCTTCAATTTGGTTACAAGGTCTTTCTGTGATCCCTGTTCATCTTGTGTTGAGTCTAAGGTGATCCTATTATTCTATCTATAAACCGTAAATATAGCCGTTCCTTAAAATTACATGTCAGAATTAATTTATCTTAAAGACATTTTAGGTGAATGATTGAATTGAGGTTCCTTTGACGAGCTGGACACAGCAGTGGAAGGATGTGAATACATGAAAACACAAACCATTACATTATTCACATATGAAATACAACCAAAGCATTTATTTATATATGATAATGTTGTAAATGACAAAGAGCTTTTCAAAAAGTTGAACATAATCTAATGCCATATGTAGATATATCCCCTGGCCACAATGCAATCCAGTACAGCAACTATGTCCCATCTTGACCTTTACTGTGCGCAAAACACAGACTGGCCAGAATCTGTGTATAAAAAACACAGTCTACAATCAAAAGGTATGTGCCATTTGTTGTTAACTTGTCTTATATTATTTGAAAACATAATTAAATGAAGCTGAAAATTACAACCCCGATAATAAACATATAATTAACTGAATACCTCCTTGACAAGATAAAACAAACCTGGCCATTTTCATCTTAAAATAAATGGTAAAGAATTGCCTTAGATTCTACAGTTGCACATAAGAAAACTGCCAATAAGTGTGTGTGTTTCATACCGAACAAAAATGTAATAACTTAAAAAAATCTTACCTCAGATTGACGACCTCCTCCTTGTTCTCGTTAAGTCCAGCAGCAGGTTTTAGAATCGGCTGAGGCTCCATCTTAACCACAGGTGAAGCCTCAGTAGTAACCAGGTGAGTGTCCATATCCTCTAAAGGTTGAGCGACAGTAGAAAGCAGAGGAGTGTCCTTCTTTTCCACGGGTTGAGTCTCTGTGTTTACCAGGTGAGTGTCCTTCTTTTCCACGGGTTGAGCCTCTGTGTTTACCAGGTGAGTGTCCTTCTTTTCCACGAGTTGAGCCTCTGTGTTTACCAGGTGAGTGTCTGTCTTTTCCACGGGTTGAGCCTCTGTGTTTACCAGGTGAGTGTCTGTCTTTTCCACGGGTTGAGCCTCTGTGTTTACCAGGTGAGTGTTCATCTTTATTACATGTTGAGCATCTGTAGTAATCCGGTTTAGGCGGGGGTTGTTTCCTTCTTCCCTAAAGCCTTTTGCAAACGGATTGTGATTGATTTTCAGCTGGGTGATCCGGAAGTTCTGATAGGTCGTGACAGCCATGAATTCGGTTTGTGGAAACGTAAAGGTCATGCTCTCTGGTCCCATAACCACAGGCTGGTCTGGTGAGGGTGCGTTCCCATCTGGTAACGGTATGACGTGGAGCCTCGGAATGTAGCGATGCATGGAGTGTAGGATTATATGGCCTTCCTGGTCATGGGAACAATTGGTCAGCTTGAGTTTGTAGAAAGACACCAAGCTACCCATCCACTCCGAGCCTAGACTGGGTGAGTAATGGTGGGCAAAGGCCCGGATCATCGTCTGGGACTGGTGCTCTGCTGGTCCAGAGGCCTCCCATTTAAACGAGTTCCAGCGGTACCTGTACTGGTCCGATGGAGCTATGGAAAGGACCAGACTGTATCGCTGATCAGGATCCAGGCCAGACAGGCGATACCGGCAGTACGGGAACATGCGGCGGCCCTGTTTAGTGAGAATCATCTCAGTTCCGCAGCTGTTGAACTGCTTCCACACGCTGTTATTCTCCAGAGTGACGCTGACGCCTTTGAAGGTGAGCAAAGTAGGAAAGACCTGTTCAGGGTCCGTACTGCCAAATGTGTTAGATGACGACACAGAAAACGGTAGTGGTGGGGATTGTGATGCGGGGACATTGCTTGTTTCTGTACATGTCAGGGAGTCTGATGCTGATGCAATATGTGAAGTAGCTGGGCTTGTTTTAACAGTTCCTTCAAAGGTAGTGGGTGATGTTGCAGTAGGCTTTGCTGGGCTGGCTTCAGCAGGCGAAGAGAGAGCGGAGCTAAAATCATTACTTGCCATGTAGACAGCTTTTTCCTCAATCGTTGTCTCACTAGGTACGTTAGCTCTCATAGTGGTTGGATCAAGAGGAGTTGAAGAAGGGACAACAGGAGGAGGAGGAACTGAGGAGGGAATGTCACTGGAGCTCCCCTCCTCATGCTCCATAGGGTGGGGGTCCTCCATTGATGCGAGTTCAGAGTCTGTGGCAGGCATCACCAATAGATGTGGCGGTCACAATTCATTTGATACCTAATGACAAAATAATAACAGAGTTATATGTATAGCGTGGTGATTTACATTTCCTACCTTATTAAACATAATTGCTAAAATCACACAAAACATAAAAAAAGAGAGAAGATAAATGTGACAACTAAATAAAAACCACATTTAAAAAACATTTTACAAAAGTATTTTACTGGTCATCCAAGTAGAGCAAACACTAACAGAAAATAACCAAAAGTGGTAAATGTAAAAGCAAGAAATAACAATGTTCGCATTCAATACACCTAAAAGAGTGTCGATAGATCTACTATTATCAAATTGAAAAAATAAGCCACAAACTCACTTTACAACATCCTTTAACTATATCTCCAACCCTTTTCAGATAGCAACAATACTTCAGAGAGCTATCGAGTGCTGACATGTTTCAAGCTAGTTGTAGCATTAGTGGTGTTACAACAGTGTGCTAGCTGTAGAAATGACAGTTATGGAAATATGTTGGATATTTTGGCTGCTCATAAACATGTCTTAATGTATAGTGCATACACATTTACTTTAAAATCAAGAAATTAAATGACTGCAGGCTACATCAAAGTATTGGTTTCATATGACACGTAAGTATTATTAATATATGGTGTTTAATTCATATTTTGTAATGCATAAAACACCCAACCTAATATCAAGATGTCCATGGTTTGTAAGATTCATACAACAGCACATTGTATCCCAATAGAATCCAACCAGAGCAATTTTAGGATATGCTCCTGAAAAATAAATTAGCTACTAATGGACAAAATATAATTTATTTACAACCATTGGCCATATCCTTCTATGAGCTAGTGATGAGTTGTTCTACTGTGTAAGGACATATTTATAAACCTTATCTTACATGCAAGGCTTTCAAAAAAAGCCTGCTTTGTCAATATGTGTATGCATGTGTGGCTACACATCATGAAAGCATGATTTGTTGTGATGATATTTTTTCAGACCCTGTCTTGCAACATCAGGCAACAGAATACAATTCATAAATGAAATGAACTTCAGAGAGTTCAAAACCACAAAAACTGAGACACCATTTTGGTGAACACAGCATTAAAACACCAAAACAAATACACCCCATATATTTGACCTGCAATCGTTAAAAATAACAAACATGTGACTTATTATACTAACTTAATCAAATGGCACGAAGGTAGAAATGTTTCAGTATTTTTTTTAAAGTTTAATATATAATTTATTGACAGTCTGAAAAATTGGACTTTGTATTTCCTCAAGTGTGCTGCGAGACCACCTCGGTGTGACTGACCAATAGCCTGCGAGCCTGGTATCACACAGCGGAGGACATGGCTGAAGGGCTCGGACAGGCCTCGTTTTAAGTATCCAAAACACAAACTAACGTTTCTTTAAGTATTTATTCGGTAGCAACCGTAATAAAATTCCCAACGTCGACGACAGAGGACACGCTATCAATGTTGGCTTCATTTCTGCCTTGCCCTCTCTAGGTCAATGTATTAATCACACCAACAACACAGATGCTGTAGTGTAAAGGTGTTAACCGGCCAAACGAGTGCGCAAAATGCGTTTTTACCGGCATGTTTACCACACAAACTCCGAATCCTTCCTCCTGTAAAAACTTTTCCTCTTAAAATTATTAGTCACATGGATAATTTAAGTTGTTTAGCAACAGCCATGTCTTCCTCACACACAACAGAGAGGAAGGCCGCCTGCTCCAGCACTCACCAAGTTAGAAAAGTTGCAGGTTTCTCTGACGCCTCACCTTTGAACGACGCCTAAATGTTTACCGAGGCAACATAACGATAACGTTCCCGGTAAAACTTCAACTGTTGCACGTCGACTGTCGAAAGGGCCTCGGTGTGTCCCTCGAACATAAACACAAATGGAGGCCGAAAGCCACGCCACTGTGCTCGCATCGACCGACCCGAGCGTGCACGCAGAGGAGCCAAAGCGCATGCACGATATCACCCCCCTTCAATGGCGCGTGATTCCCGGGCCGCGAGGGAAGCGGGAGTCCACCATCCCGGAGATTTTTTTTCTTGCTTGTTCCCACCTCGAGCTCAGTCCGCGCGCCTGTAAGGACAACTCTCAGCAAGTTTGCGCGAGAATGTTTCGTGCGTGTGATTCCCAAGCTGAGAGCAAATACCCGAGACTTTACCTTCATTCCTTTGTATTTCCTTCACTTCTTCTACCTTTTCGATCACATTTCCATTCTCACCCTGTCTAAAGAGCACACACACTCTCCTCTGCCCCTCTCGCTCACACATACACACACACACATCCGTGCTCTCGTCCTGTGACGTAACACGTTCACCATGGCGGTGTAGATTCAATAGCCACTGCGCAGGCTCCCTCCGCAGGACTTTATCGGACACTTCTTTAATGCCTGAATTTCAGCTTAACAAACCCCCTTTGAGAAAAGTTATTTTAGAGCAGGTGACAAACAGTGCAGGTTCCTTGTCAATACGCCCCTGCAGCAAAGTATCAAAATGGACCTACACAAACTTAATAAATAACTCATGGTTTACTTTTTTTAAACTGCTGAAACCGGACCGCAAAACAACGTCAACTGGCTTGTTCTCCAAAAAGATGGCGTCTGTTAGGTTCCGAAAAATCAAAAGTACCCTGATAAGAAGGTTACGAGTTTTTAAAATAGGCCTATCATTTATTTCCCAAAATAATCCACAGAAAATAATGTCCTAACGTGAATTATTTTACTGAGCCACCAAACCTGCTGACGACACAATTGCTAAACAAAACAAGTCAGCACTGCAGTTTACTAAAGTCGGCTGAAATGCATTAGTGCCTTAAAATGACTGAGAAATACATTGTCATTTTTATTCATTTGAAAACACAAACGCAGCGGATAGAACAAATGGTTCGTTTCTCAATTGGTGGCCAGAGAAGGGTGGGCTAGAGCCAATTCAATAAATAAACCAGAGGAAAAAATGGCAAGCAAGCATGCATCACAGCTGTCACGTGCATGAGTGTAGACATGGGTTAACGCCAAATTAAGTGTAAAATCGTTTGTGTTTCCCTACATAATAAAGGACTTCCCGTCAAAGGTTCCAAGGTAGGTTTATGTGTAAACTCACACATATATTAAGGGAGAATTATGGCAACATCAAGAGTAACGTGGTAAGCTATCGGGCGAGCAGGGCGGGGTCTAAACAGGACTAGGAAGTCGGAGCGAAGCCAGCATGAACCTACCCGTCTCTCCTGTATTCCACGTGGGGATCTCGTGGCGTTATGCTGCAGCCATGTTCCTGCTGTAGACCTTTATTCTATTGCCTACTATCCCGATCCATTATTGCAAAAACATTTAAAGCTTATCTTTGGTACTGAGAGGTATACTCCCAAAAAGCCCTTTTAAATACACCCCCAAGTTTCACATTAAGACAATACAAAATTATTTTCCTCAGGGCAAAATCTCCCATAAAACTATTAAAATAATATTCATAATACATCCAGTTAAGCTACAGGAAGTTTAAATGTTTTTTCACACATCAGACCACTTATTGTATGTATTCACTGTAGGCTACAATTGTATATTGGATCAGATCATTTATAATAATACAACAGTAATATCATTACTGTTTAATGATGACACATAAGGTTATTGCTCACATCATGTCACACTGCATACATAGTGAGACTTTTTTAAATATCTGCAGAAAATAAAAAGAAGCCACTTTAAGAACTCCTTAATAAGGGTGTGTTTTTGATTTTACTTCCTTAACAACAATACAGTGTGGAGTGACAGCTACCAGATTGTGATGGCACTAAGGTAAAATCAGCAGTGGCAGCACAGACAAAGGAAAGTGCACAGACTTTGTATAGCCTTTGTGAGCCTCTGTCAAACCTAATTTAAAATTACCGTGAACAGGCACAATATTTATTGTATCATCACCGTGTAAATACGGGATTGTTTTTGAGTTAAAAGTGTAGACATAATGCATATATTTTTTTTTTTTAATGAGAAGGGATTACATTTAAAGAACAGATTTAGATGTCATGGCAGAAGGTAACACATAATGAGAAACTTTTCCAAAAGCAGTCAGGCGTAGCTTTGTCAATTAAAGGCACTCATATCTCATGTTATTGACACTAAAGTATTTTACGAGTTAATGTTTAAATTGTGATGATTAAGGCTAAATCATTTTACACACCCACACACGTTTTTATAAATTGACACTATTTAAGCAGACATTTGGCATAAACCTACATCACCTTAATCCAACAAAATAAATTGGTCACAACAAGACTCAATTATATGTGACCCATACATAATCAATTTCAACAGAGCCAGTGCATCTCTTCAATTATGTTACAAAGCTTAAACTCAAGATTTATCCTGCACTTGACTTCACTCTTCTGCAAAATATATATAATACAATATATTATTTGACCATGAACACAAGTCAACTCTGTGTTTATTTATATAGAGTTTATATACAACTGTTATGTGAAGAATTGAAGTGAAGATAAAGAGTGAGTCTGCAGCGAAACAGGAACTTGCAATGTCTTTAGTATTTATTTTGGGTTACACTGCATCACATAAGATGTGCTTGCCCTCCTCCAACTGCCAGGCAGAAAGAGAGCTTCTTTAGGAACAAAAAACATTTTATTTTTCAGCTTAGAAAATAGCAATCCTTTAATGCTTTTTGCCAACAATTAAAGGTATTGCTGATTAAAACCCTTTTTTTTTTTTTAGATATAAAACGGTGGGACTGAAAACGATTTTTAATAGCAAAACAATGCAAAAAGATAAGTTGCATAACATCTAATAAAAAATTTCAAGATCTAAACAAATATATTTAATTGGAACACAATGCTTTAATCTGTTTACCAATGACAGTTACAGAAAAAGGTCTGAGCAAGGTGAGGTTTCTAAAAATGTCAAAAGATGTGTGTCCCAATTTTAAATACAGAAGAAAATCTTCAAGTTACTTCTTCATAAAGTTCTTGCATAAAAACAGGTTATTCCCGATCCCGTACACATAGGGACTGATAGATGTGTAGGAAGTTGTGAGAAAGAACTCAGTCTCAGCCCAAAACGCATAGTCAGAGTGGCTGACGGTCAGCTGGAAGATCAGGTAGAGACTCCAGTCGACCTGGAACAACCCCATCGCTGCCAGCACAGCTATGGTGCTCCTCTTGAGCTTCTGGTCCTTGTTCTTCGTACTGAACTGGCTCGACCCAGTCTCGCTCGCCCCAGGTGTGACCGTATTCCTCCGGTTCAGCAGCACCACGATGATGAGGCAGCTGGTGACTGTGACGATGATCAGAGGCAGCAGGTAGCACACCACGATGAACGTGTACTTGTAAACACGGTTGAGTATGGGGCAATCGTTTCCACTACACTGAAAGAAGTTGGGAGAGCAGCTGCTGCTATTCCTTGTTGTGTTTCCCTGAAGGCCTTGAGGCTTGATTGCAAAAACTGGGAGACAAAGCAGCATAGCGACCATCACAAAAAGCCCGCTCACCATCCAGGCCGACCTGGCATTGTCCAGGTAGATCGGGTTGACCCTCTTGTCGACGTCTCTCAGCTTCTGTCCACGAAAGATGCAGATGAGGACGGTGAAGAAGATGCTGGTGATTTCTCCGAACATTGTCAGGAACTGGAGCATGTCGCACAACCAATTGTCGATGGTGGAGGTCTTGAGGATGATAATATCGTAGATGTTCACGGTGACAATTTCCTCCAAGTTGGCAGCGGACAGTCCCAAGAGGAAGAACTCGAAGGATTTGACCCGGGAAAGCTTAGTCTGAATGATGGCAAGGATGAGAAATACATTACCCACAAGTCCTATGCAAGAAATGAACACTCTTAAACTCAGGAGGTTGACAGAGAAATAAATCATTGTTGAAAGAAGCGAAATCTTTCAAAAATCTTTCAGTAGTTGTTCTTTCCCCAGAAGAAAAGCAGAGGTGGGAGTTTTAAAGCAAATGTGTAGCATGTAACCCTTGTTATCAAGTTCTCAAAGGTGACAAGAACCTAGATTGGTGATTGGCTGCGCTCATTATAGAGAAAGGAGGACCCTGGAAACATTGAATGCTGGGAGTCATTATAGCTTTACCTCAGAGCATTTCAAAGCTTCATCTTGAGACCAGCACATTGTCTGATTTAAAGCAGTGACAGGTTTTTCCACTGGCTGACATCACCCTCAATTCCTGCAAGAGCTCATTTACATCCACCGACACTTGTTTTTGTCATTTTGTGGTTTAATTAGCATGCTATATTTTATCTGACAGCACTACTGTGACATACTACAAACATCTTTTTGATGACATCTTGCTTAACATGTCCAATATTACCAATCAGGCAGTTAACTTGAGTACGTTTTATCTATTCATTATTAGAGGTGTGTGAAAAGAATGAGGGGGTAAGTCTTTGGAAAACCAATATAGTACATTTTGGAGGAATATCTCTATCACTTAATTAGGGTTAGGACTTCTGCTGTAAACAACTGAAATATCCGTCCGTTCACGTGATTGTGTGGTGAGCAAACAGAGTGAAAGGCATAATAGGACAAAGGCTTTTGGCCCCTGTTGTTCACACAGGATCAGTTCATGTTCCAGCTTGTTTCTTTTCCTCGTTGACTGCGCTGTCTAGTTAGCAGACGCTCTCTTCAATCAAGCCCTGCATCCTGATTCAGCTTAATTGTGGATCCCTGTGTGTGTGTGTGTGTGTGTGTGTGTGTGTGTGTGTGTGTGTGTGTGTGTGTGTGTGTGTGTGTGTGTGTGTGTGTGTGTGTGTGTGTGTGTGTGTGTGTGTGTGTGTGTGTGTAATTCAAGATAAGCCCTACATTGGCAGTACATTGGGAAACTAAGTGTGATGTAATGAGCCTGGACAGATTAGTATTACTTTTCACCATTCAATAATTATCAATCAGAGACCTGATCAAATGTGATTTAGTGGTTAAATTGTTTCATTCTATTACGTGAAACAAAGTTAATTGATTGCTTTAAAGCACTTTTTTAATTTGTTGTTCTTCTCTTTATTTTACTATAACTCCAACCTATAATGCACAAATCACTGTTGTTAGTGATGTTGAATTTGGGTTTTTCCAATAATCATATTTTTTGTCTTTCTTATTTTGAACACACAAAATCCCAAACATAATACACTCATGTTAGAAGGAAATAACATAGAGTTTTGCTTTGGGAGGTTACCACAAAACATTTATTTAGTGGTAAGCACAAAAACAAGTTGATAGCCCCACTTAACGCTTGACTCATAGCCACAGCAGTGTTTCGAGCCAAATGCTAACCAGCATGCTAACTTGCTGGTAACATGCTAATGTTTAGCCATGGCCACCTGTAGGTCTGAGAAGTGTAGCCAATGCTGAAGTTCCTGCACACTTTTGAAAGGCCAGCTGGGGGCGTACAAAAAATGTCAAGTTTTAAAGAAGTCTATGAGAAAATTACCCTATATCTCACTTGATTTTTCTTTAACCCTTCTATTGTCTTCATTTCCCCCTCCTTACTTTGGAGTTCGCGTTCAAATTGGACCGGTCCTGTTTTAACTGCTATTACATTAACACAAAAACCATTCATCATCACCAAATTTCATTTAACACCCTTTCAAACTGTAAATATTGTATCACACTACTGGTAAACATGAAAAACTGCAGTAAATATACAAAGAATAGACACTGAACATGTATTGTGTGTGCAAGGTGTGATCCATGTGGGGGGATGGGCACATAAGAGCGGGAAATGTGTCAAATTGTTCTGTGTGTTTGTGTGTGCCAGGCCAGCCAGGTGTGATTCACATGGGGGGATTGGGCACATAAGGGGGACACACACACATCTAGAGTGTGTGTGTGTGTGTGTGTGTGTGTGTGTGTGTGTGTGTGTGTGTGTGTGTGTGTGTGTGTGTGTGTGTGTGTGTGTTTGTGTGTGTGTTTTATCTGATCCGGATGGTTACTAATTCCTTTTCTTTATGGCGGTCATTTTTGACCGGGAACACCATGGGTGTTACAAAGTTGACTAAATCATCCAAAATTCAATGAAAGTGGTGATCATAAAGCCTTAATGCAATCGAATGTAAAACAAAAAAGTTATGATTGATGAAAGTAGTAAATCGATCAGATTTGACCCGAAGACAACAGGAGGGTTAAAGTTTATGATCTTAGCTGTACTATTTTTTAGTACATCATGATGTTCCTTATGTAGAGGATAAAGCAGGGAATGCTTTATGGCTGTGGATAGCGTGTGTTTGACTTCTTGCTACCAAGACACACGTGTTGTCAAATATTCTAAGTGAAGACATTTTGACTTAAATTAGAAATCTATATCTGTTTACTGTTGCATCTGAAATAGAACATAGCCATCATCTATTCAATGTGTGCTTTTCTTACTAAGACAAGTTAAAATGCTTGTTAAAGAGGCCATAATTATATGCAAGAAATCGACTTTTTATCAACTTCTTGTTTTAATGATTCAAAGTGCTAACATGGACTTCGCCTTTAGGGACTCAAAACATACATTGCACATGATCTTCATGATTTGAAATCAAACCTGAGAAACTGGGACTACTAAACTTGGACTTGAGCCATGGCACGTCGCCAGCATACATTTTCATCTAAATGTTAATGTGCTGCGGCAATCAACATGAATCACTTGCCAATCACTGTTTTAAGCTGCTGAGTTATATTGCTTGGTGAAATAATTACATTTAATTAACAGTTCACCAAATTAAAATGTGTTTGACACCTGCGCTGAACTGTTAGCTGTTGAACAATCACTTGTCCGTGAGATTAATAAACGTTTTAGTAAAATTCATGTGTTTGAGAAGTAGTGAGCATAAGATAAATAAAACTATTATATTGCACAACTGGTGTGACAGTTTTTTAACAGATGTTTTCTTTAGTCAGACGCAGCCCCAATTCACTTAAATTCATCAAGCCTTTACTTTGTTTTTGGATTCATCCTCCTCATGCCTGAGAAAACAAAGGTTTCCTATATAATTCAAGGTGACTTGGGAATTCAACCAAAGTATCTTTATTACAGAGCTTCTGTAAAAGCCAGGCGGATAATATTAAATAATGCAGGACCATCATTTTGTCAATCTATTTTTTTTTAAAATAACATTTTATAATGCATATTCTTAAAAGTCATATCACCTACACACAACCAATTGACATACAGTAAACGTGGGGGTTTTGGGGCTCTGAACTTAGTCTGAATACATCTCTGGTTGATGGTTTAAGTGTCATGGAAATTATATGAAGAAATACTAAATTGGGCACAGTTTTATTGGGAATTTAATTAGAATTTGACCCATATCTGCAACTTTTGGCATGGAGCCCTTGCAAGTGCCACAGCTGAGGTTTTCCTGGCCTGAATCCCATTTTGGGATACACTGGTTTGTTAACAGGTGTTTCCAGGCTGTCTGACAGTCATCCCCCTGTCCTGTTAATGCCACAGCAACATCCCTCCAAGAAAGTTACCACGGGTGGGACCAAGAGTTGCAGATACGCGTGGATACCCCTTTAAAAGACTCACCATGTTGCCATCACATGCTTCAGCACAGAAGTAGGATGAGGATGTTCATGTTGTTGTTATATAAAACACATTTGTTTATTGTAGTCATATACGGAACTGGACTGGACTTTTGGTGATTTTTGCTACACTTTAAATGGCAGGAGGGGGCCCAGCCCACACCGCGTGTCAGCGCTGCAGTCAGTCATGATCTGCTGCTAGTTGTTGTTCAGTAGCAACACACACAGACTGGTGTACAAACTGAGCGCTGCGTGCACTGGTAATGCCAACTGACGGGATATAAGCGACGTGTGTGCGGGCGACGGACTCTCTACTATCTCCAGCAGCAACACTCACGCTTCCTCAGCCGTATTGGCAGTTGGAGTGGATGGGATATATGAAAACAAACATCCTGAGCAGACCCCGCTTGCCTCGGAAAGGAGTGTTACCTCTTCTTACGAGATCAGAGTTGTTGGCTCCGTCTCTTCTCTCGTCGATATTTTTGAAGTGGCGAACATTCGTGGCGGGTGTATTTCTAGTTGAGCTGCATCGGTGAACCAGTCGGACCAGGCGGACTTGCCTTACCCAGCCATTCGGAAAACAAGGTGCCCTGACTGGCTCCTCGCACCATTGGAAAATTAGACGAGATAGTGCCCGCCACGCAGAGCTACGTTACGGTAAGTAGCGGCTGCTCTACGTTATCTTTCCTCGTTAATTCTCTTTTTTGAATTCAGGCAGAGCAGGGGTCGCATGGCCAGCTTTCCTCCTTTTGTGTATGTTTTTAAAGTCATGTCTGGAGGACGTTGCCGAGGCAGATAATGGCCATGGTGATGAAGGAGATTCCCAGGGAGTGGTACTCTCAGTCGGACTGGCCGTTCAATGTGTGTTTGTGTTATCATATCCCCTCCCTCCCCCAGTCACCTCCAACAACACCACCAGCAGCAGCAACCACAGTGTAATGTCAAAGCGATAATAGTGCTTTGTGTGCTCACTGGACGGGAACAAGGTCAATTATAGGGACACAGTAGCACACGAGCTCACTAATATTATAATTGGTTGGATTAATGCTCACCTGGACATCAACCCCCCTGTGTTGGTGTCCGCGCGCTCACGAGGGGTTACAAACTTTAGGGCACATGAGCCATGAGGCATTTCGTGGGGGTTGTATTTCACTCATATTGGGCCTTAAACCGGCTACTTTAGTGGGAGTAAACAAATATGCCACTTCGAACTGAGGGTTAACAGTCAGTGTTGTACCGCTCTGCTCAGGTAAATGAGGAGGCATCATAAATGCCAAAGCAATTACCCCACATCACCGTTTGCCAATTAGGTCATAAAGGCAATGAGCTCACAACGGATGATGCTGTTATGACATCATGGATAAACCCCCTGAGGCGTGGGTTGACAGTGGATGATCTTCAGGACATGCACTGTTGACAGATGTGTGTGAAGGGAAAGTGGATAAGGAAGGGCTTCCTTGAGTGAAGTTGTTCCTGGAGAATATTGCAATTGTACATGGTCTGTAGGCTACATCAGTTTTGTGTAAATATTTTATCATGTTACACTAGATTAGACATCCAATCAGGATATACTGGAGTTTCTGTGTGGTGTCATTTTACTTTTTTGTCTAGATTTTAACTGGAATCTGTTTAAACCTCATGATTTTTTAATTCCCTATCCTACGCTTTGAATGTTACCCTTCATTTGAACTCGCTTTGTTGGTTATAATAGCTATGCATCGCATGTTAATACTTGCAAATCATGCACTTTTAATATTGAGATAGTGAATCAGCCATATTTAAATATTTGATCAGTACTGGTATTGCGATCTGTAAGTTAAAGGTGGGGTAGGTAAGTTTGAGAAACCGGCTCAAGATACACTTTTTGTTATATTCCATGGAATGCTCTTAATTTAGAGAGAGCCTTTTATTGTCATTATACACAGAGTATAACGAGATTCAGAGTGCAACTCTGTCCCGGTGTGCAAAAAATATAAACAAATACATAACACTAAAAAAGACGGCAATAGGACAGACAACATACAATCATACGGGGGAATAAATAGTTAAAAATATTGATATAAAAAATAGTATATAAAGTGCATTTAAAAGTGTGTGTGTATGTGTGAGAATGGTTACAGTTATTGCATTATGTGTGGTGGTTGAGCAGCTTGACGGCCCAGGGGTAGAAACTGTTTTTGAGTCTGTTTGTCCGTGACTTGAAGCTCCTGTATCTCCTCCCAGAAGGCAGGAGAGAGAACAGTCTGTGACCTGGGTGAGAGCTGTCCTTTATAATTTTGTTAGCTCTGCTGAGGCAGCGGAAGGTGGAGATGTGTTCTAGAGAGGGCAGGGGGCAGCTGATGGTTTTCTCTGCCATCCTGATCACTCTCTGCAGGGCTTTCTTGTCCGCAGCTGAGCATCCTGCATACCACCCCGAGATGGAGTATGACAGCACGCTCTCGATGGTCGCCCGGTAGAAGGACACCAGCAGCTTCTTGTTCAGTCGGTTCCTCCGAAGCACCCTCAGGAAGTGAAGTCGCTGCTGGGCCTTCTTAACTGCTGCAGTGGTGTGTGCTGTCCAGCTGAGGCTCTCCGAGATGTGAACCCCCAGGAAATTAAAGGTGGAGACATCCCGATAGCAATGAATATCTTAAGTGCATTAAAAATCCATAACATTTTTTACGTGTTCTGACTAACAGTTTGGAGGATTTAGCAGCCTGGTATATTACACAGTTTTAGCGGCATATATATACATATGGTTGGTATTTAACAAAAAGGGGTGTTGTAGTGTGTGATATTGGTATTTATGGAAACATTTTACACCTTTCCTTCAAGTATTATATACGTGTTTGTTACTTGTGGGGTACTTAACATGAATAGTCACAGTTACTATCCTTTTACTCTATCACGTTTCAAAGAGAAATAGACTATTGTTATTTTAACTCCACCACAGTGATCCATCATCAGCTTTACTTTTTAGATAAGATTTAACTCACAATTGATCATAACGGGCTTCAAAATACATACATTTGTATATATTATCAAGTGGTTTCATGTACAACCCACACAAGTATCATGCTAAATTAAGCTCTGTTGCTTGGATATCACTAGATCCTGTTATCAGCGTAATATAAAAGTACATAACGATTGATGTCAACTTAGCATAATTACTAGCTAGCTGCTAACTGCCGCGGCCGCCTCGTTAATATCAAATCCATCAAAACAAATCCAGTACCATGCTGTCATGAACGCGCGGTGCTGTACGTGTACGCAAATTGACGTGCTTAATGTGAACAAGCCTTTTGGGGGGGTGTGGTTAAAGTTGCGCATGCTCTATGAGCGCACATACGGGTACTTCTCAGGCATGACGGGTAATCTGTGACGTTTCGCTCTCTCAAAAGTTGGCCCATTTTATCATCATGCGCCAATGAGCAACTCTCATATGTAGGAATGAATGAGGCCCCGCCTCCCACGCTGTATCCAGTTCTTATTATACATCCATGGTTATCACACAGTCTGTCTTCCGGTTGTTGTCTCTTTTGAATGACGAATACACACTACCGCCGCCTGCTGGTAAGGAGAGTTATTGCCACTCACGCATGCGCAGTTCGTACGTGCTTCTTGGCTGTCGGCTGAAGTCTTTGCGGTGTGTTCCAGTGCGACACATGGCCAAGACGCAGAGATGCGAGGCGACACAACAGTCGGGGGTCCGTCTGTTACCTCATTCACACCAACGCAACTCCGGTTCAAGCTCCGTGCTAGAGCTTTTCAGGTTCAGAACCGGTTCTTCGGTTTAGCTCCGGCTCTTTTCACACCGCCCAGAGTTCGACTGGTGCTGCGTCATTGCGTCATCGTTTGCATCATGACGTAACCCTTTGCGTGTCTGCTTCATAAAGCCAAACCGTGCGGAAACCCCTCACAGCTCACACCGACAACAACAACAATGGCCGATTGTGCTCCAGCTTCCTCTGTACCTCTTCGGAAGACCAGATTCCCAGTAGGTAGCTGGTCTCTTCAGTGGACCACTGCTGCTTGTTAAGTTTCTCCATCGTTGTGTACAAACTGGATAAAACGCGGGCTTTTTGTTGTTGTTCAGGAGTTGATCCCGCCCCTGCCCCCGCCTCGACGTAAGCGTGACGTATGTGGTAATTTTGCTCTGGCCGGACAATTTTTTGGTTCTTGAAACAAACCGGATTCCGGAGCTAAGAGGCTGCTCCGCTGCGGTGTGAACAGGAAAACCCGGTGCTTTTCAAGCTCCAGCTCCGAACCGGCCCTGAAACACCGTTGGTGTGAATGAGGTATCAGTTCTTTGGTGTCAGCTTGGTGTGTCCGGGCCTTTAAGGCAGGTAACCTTTTTTCCTCCAAACTTAGGAGCAGAATATTTAAGATCAAGTGATAGAAAATGTTTGCTGCTTGTAAACCCATGAGGCTTGGACACACACAAATAAGGAAATCAATCAAAACATCTATATCTGGAGAAAATAGACAATGTGAGTGATTAGTAAACTAATATACTGTTATACTGACTGTATAATGCAGTGCTTTACTATTTCACATATATAATTAGGGATATTAGTTGTTACCGTTCTGACAGTCAGGCCACTTTAGATATTAATGTTTCCGTGAAACATTGCTGAATCAACTTCTTGTTTTATGATGTTCTGCGAATTTAAATCACTTAGACTTTCAAAACGTATGAGACAACTTTGAATGTATTAATCAAACTCACTTTAGTTTCAGCGTATTCAGTCAAGTCACATTTTAAGGCAGGAAGGGGAACATACAATTTGAAATTAAGTACCTCAAAACTGTACTGAATAACATTATTTTAGTAAACATACTTAATTACTTTCCACTAGTGATGCTACAAGACTAAACTTAAAGGGCACTCATAGGGGCTGACCTCCACCAACACCATGGCCTACCTCGCAATGTTAATTAGAGTGAAAAATAATGTGAGTTTGCCCTGTGATTCGGATTCGCTCCAAAATGTAATCCGTGTCCCATATCCTTGCCTCAAGTTAAATTGAAGGCAGGCCATTAGTTTTTTCCGTAATCCTGCTGACGAACAAACTAAACAGAAATCATGACCTCCTTGGTGTAGGTCAGGGGTACTCAAAGTTTTTTGTTAAAGGTCCACTTGTGAATTTTATACAAGGTCACTGGTCCGGATCAATGCCAGTAAAGTATTTTTTATTTTATAATGGGACACAGGGTTCGATCCGGATTGATTTGCAGTTTGGTCCGGATCCAGATCTTGGTCCAGAGTTTGAGAAGCCCTGGCGTAGGTAATCAATTGTCGGTCTAATCCAGGGGTGGGGAACCTTTTTACTCTCAAGGGCCATTTTAATTTTTTCAACATCCTCCGAGGGCCGTTCAAATTATTGACCTCTACTTAAAAATGCTAAGATCACAGCCCATTCATTTGGCCTTTCTTTCATGCTGTGCAAAGAAAAAGCAATCTCTTAATCCAGATATCTTACCATGACTTGCGTATGCATGCACGTGCACGGTTGTGGCATGACCACCAAAACAGAAAGATATGGACACAAGATGTGTGCAAATGTATTTAGTTTCCTATCCATGTGAACATGATTTTAAGTGGGGGGGGGGGGGGGGGGGGGGCATGCTCCCCCGGGAAGATTTGTTTTTAAATGTTGAAGTTAAAAGCATCAATCTGGTGCACTTTGAGAGCAAAATTTAGAGATCTATGGATACATAGGAGCAGGGCCGGCCCTAGACTTATGGGGGCCCTAAGCGAGCTTTGGCTTGGGGCCCCCCCCCCGCGCGTTCTCACTACACACAACACGGAATCAACTTTTGTCTTATGATGTTAGAATAAGCACACATATTGTATAAATAACCATGTAAACACCGTGGACCTAGCCTCCTCTAGGGGGGTCCGGGGGCATGCTCCCCCGGGAAGATTTTTTTTTAAATATTGAAGTTAAAAGCATCAATCTGGTGCACTTTGAGAGCAAAAGGAAGAGATCTATGGATACATCTCTCAACACCCATATGAAACAGAACTGTAAACAGATTTTTCTTTATGGATATTTTACAAATCACTTAAACTGTATTCTTGTTTTGTCATATAGTATTTCATAACTGTTTTTTCATTTATTCTCTCTGGCTGTCCATCTCATAATGTTCACATAGAAACTAGCTGTCAATAGGAATATCATTCAGAAGAATTATAATTTATTGCAGAAATCTGTCACAAAAAGAGGTTGTACATTTAAATTCAGGTGTTGTTATGGCAATTCCACTTCGAGCGTTAGAACGATTAACGAAGCACTTTTATACTAATAAAGGACTGGATTACCTAAAGCCAGTTGAGTAGCACTTGAAATGTTTGGCTCTATGAAACCTGATATACTTATATGATTCTGTTTTCTTCAAGGTTGTGTCTTCCTGGTCGAATGTACTTATTGTAAGTCGCTTTGGACAAAAGCGTCAGCTAAATGCAATGTAATGTAATGTAATGTAATGTAATTCAGGTGTTGTTATGGCAACGTCAAACAGCCACATTTACTGCTGCAAATACGGTCAAACATGCTGTTGACAGGCAGTGGCAACTATGCAACCATTTCAGCTGACTTTTTCTCAGAAATACTGTCACATAACATCCATATATTTCAGTGCTAGATTGATGCTTAGCTAAGCTAACTATGAAACACTTTAACTGACAGGACTCCGGATCAACTGTGTACTGTAGCTTCTAGCTTCATGTCGAACAGTAAGTCAACATTTCCCAGAGAGCTTTCTTTGAAATCACCAGGTAACGCTAAAAACATTACATTTAGATTGTATGACAAAGTGTGTATTAACACAATTAATTAAACATACTTATCACGGCGACGGTGTACTGAGAATTTTTTATTTTCTTATTTGTTTTCTTCATTTTGCTAGGGGGCCTCTTAGTGGCTGCGGGGCCCTAAGCGGCCGCTTATGTCGCTTAATGGGTCTGGCCGGCTCTGCATAGGAGGGCAGTAGCGTGGCGTGGGGAAAAATGTAGGGGAAGCCCATTTTTTGGGTCGGGGGGGTGTTCAATAACGTAACCAGATGAGTGATTACAGTGCCCGGTATAATTTGACACACATTTGTATCACACAGATGCAGGACTTGCACACGCCTGTTATCTAACTGACAGGTCCGCACGCACTCTCCAGCTGAAACTCTCTCCTTATTAATTTAAGCATTTTACTTATTAATGTATGCAGACAATCACACAATCTGTGATTTTTGGATTTACCGTGCCTCTCAATTGCCCGTGACAGGTTGACAAGGTCGATGAATCCTGAAGTTGCCCAAGGATTGTTCAGGGAGCACGAATCCTTGTCAAAAAGAAGACATGGCCAGCAAAATAGACGCTGAAGTTTAGCGCTTCCAGTTAGCCACTCCGTGCGGACATAATTGTCCTCATTGAACGTCCGATTCTCTCCCTTTTTCCTCTGTGTACACCATAGACTGGTGTACACACAGCTGGAGTGCGGTCATTGGCCTGTCATCTGATTTAATTTTTAGTTGCTGCTGTAGCGGAACTTTAGTAAAGTTATGTTTGATTAAGTATGCCAAATCTCCACCCTCCATAATGCTTCATTTGCTTGATAATTTCTAA